CTATGATGACATCCAGGGAGTGAGGAAAGGCCGTCCTCACCTGCTGACCATCAGCTGACGTCCCCCACACGGGAGGTCCGTCGGCGTCGGGTCTCCCTATGACTTGAGGCTGTGAGACGACTTTATCCAGGTCTCCGGTATTAGGATGAGGGGCGTCATTGAGCTTCGTGCTTGGCGTGTCATCCGGCAGGAGGCTGAGTGCCTGGGAAAATTCTGGCGCACTGTCTGCGTTCTGCGACGTCCTGCTCTCCGGGATCGAACTGCCCTGGGTGATAAGCAAGGGATCGTGCCTGTGATTGCTGGTCGTTGACGGCTCGTTGACAATGCGAAGCGGTTCAGACGACCCTGAGTTCTCTTCGGTGGTTTCACCCACTTCTGTTGTATTTGGAACGCTGGTTTCAGGTGCGGTTGTCGCATCGTATTGGGCTGTAGCGTTTTCGTTCATGGATGAAGCCATTAATTGAGTTAAATTAGAAAGAGACATCGCAGTGATTAGTGGATCATTTGATAAATCTAAATAGTTTTTATTTTCGATATCCACTTGGCTCCTGTTAGAAGCCTCATTCGGTGAATCTAATAAACTTTCCTGGAGTCTGTCTTCGGAATCGGTTTGGTTTCGTGGAGGCAACCCTGCTTCTGCTTCCGAAACTTTCTCTTCTTCTGGCGGCGGAGGCTGCTTGCTCCCCTTGAACGTTTTCTCGGTTCCTGTCCCCGTCGCGGCGTCAAGATCAGGAACATCTAAGGAAGGGCTGGGAGAGGCTGTCTTGTCCTCCCCAGACACCTGCAGCAATTGGCTAGTGACTATAAGATTCATATCTTCCGCTTTGGACTTTTCCGTTGCTGTTCCATCACCCATCGTACCTCCGGGATCCAGATCAGCGGTCGTCGTCCAGGGAAATAGATTCAGTGTTGCCCCGCCGTCGAGGGTCACCCCGTCTTCTTCCTGACCGTCACCAGTTGCTCCTGTCCCCCCAGGCGGATCTCCAGGGACGCTCGTAGTGTTGAAAGGCAGAGTAACGCTTCCAGACACTGTGCCAGGCTCAAGTGTCGCCATGGTGGCACTCATGAGCAGTGACCAGAGAAGGGAATTTCTGTTGTGGAAGGTTGAAATATCCCTTGCCTCCGCATCCCGCGACATGTTGAGGTGCAGCAACGCCTCATCTGGGAGAGGAAGTCCAGTTCCTCCTCCAGTGTACTCCTGTGTGATGTTTGGAGCTTCGAGGGCCAAAAGTGACATGTCCGTTATATTCGTCTTTTAGTTAATATATAAACTATAGTTATATTCTGTCGTTTCTTTTTCACTCCTATTTGCCTTTTTTGCACTATTTCACGATCTCTCTCCTTCGATAGTCTTGTCTTTTCGCCATTCCCGTCTTCCCTCGATCCTCCTTGATCTTCCGCAGCGTCGACGATCCTTGCGCGACGGGGCCAGAATTCCACTGAGTCTCTTTCCAGTCCGCCCGCCGAGGCCGCTTCGGGGGCGTCTTCTGGAGGGAGAATCCAATGACCTCTTTTCGTTGGTCATGTTTTCTGCGCCTTCTCTTTTATCTCTTCATCTCAGGATCGCATATCTATTTCAGTCAAGACTACCATTTGCATGCAGACGATGCTTCAAAATTGTATGACGTTTAGACTTTAATGAATTAATATTATCAAGGAGAATAGAGATAAAGAGATAACGAATTTCTGGAAACCTTCCCTCGAAGGAACCGGAAGCGGCCGGGCAGGTGAAAAGAGGCTCCTTCCCCCTGTCCTGCTCCCTGCCCTCCCCTGCCCAGCGTCCCGTCTCCCCTCTTTCCCTAATCACGACATGATTCCTGTCGCCCTCTCTCTCCCCTTGTCTCTTCATTCCTTATTGCGCTTTCCATTGCCTATCTTTTATTTTTTTATTCGTCGAGAGAAAACGTAGTGCAAGAAATCCGACGTTGATGAAGGTAGACAATCTTTTCTACATTCTCCTATTCCTCATCTTTATCAATCTCCCTCTTCTTCTCTCTCTCTCTTTCCCTATCCCTCCTCCTCTTTGCCTCTCTTTCCCTCTCGTTCTCCCCAACTCTTTCCCCTCTAAAATCTTTGCTTTTCCTCTCCCCTCCTCCCTCCCCTTCAATGCTTATCCCTTCCCTATCTTTTCCTCAATTCTCCCCTTTCTCTTTCTCTCCCTTTTACTTCTCTCTCTCTTCGCCTCTCCTCTCCCTCTTTCTCCCTATCTCTCTTGTCCTCTCCCCTACCACTTGCTGTTCCTTTCCCTTCCTCTCACTTCGCTTTTCTCTTCCCTCATTCGCTCTATGACTTTTCCCTTCTTTCCCTTCGCCTCTCTTTTCCTCTCACTCTCCCACTTTCACCCTGTAGCTCTGTCCTCTCGCTTCTTCGCATCTCCTCTCCCCTTCTTTATCCTATCCTCTTCCTTGTTCATTCTTCGCTGCTCCTCGCTCTTATTCCTCCTAACCTTCTCACTTAACGCTTCGGCTTTTCTCTCCCCTCCTTCATCCCATCCCTCTCCTTTCCTCTTTTATTCGCGTCTCCTCTCGCCCTGATCTCCTTTTCCCTCGCTTTCTCGTTCGACCCTCACCTCTCGTCTCCCTTCCTCCTCCTTTCTCTCTCTCCGCCTCTTCGCCTCTCTCTCCTCTCCCTTCTTCTCTCCTTCGCCTCTCCTCCCCTCTCTTCCTCCTCTTCGCCTCTCCTCTCCTCTCCCTTCTCCCTCTTGGCCTCTCCTCTCCCATTCCCTTCCCCTCTTCTCTGATCTCCCTCTCCCTTCCTCCCTCTTCGCCTCTCCTCTCCCTCTCCCTTCCTCCTTCTTGGCCTCTAATCTCCCTCTCCCTCTTCGCCTCTCCTTCTCCCTCTCCTTCCTC